GCCTCCGGCTTGACATCTGACTCACAGACTTGGAACTTGCCCACCTCCACAACTGCGTGATCCAGGTCCTGATGTTTTGAAGCTTTAGAGAACCCAGCCTAAGAGGGACAATAGAGCCCCCCTCACCTCAGGGACAGACTCTATGATCCCACTAGGGCTCGAGCTTTGAGGGCAGACCACCCTGAGCCCCTTCCTGGCCCATCTCTTCCCTTGCCCTCTCTCCTCCCTTTGGAGATCCTGTCCGTCTCAGGCACAGCACCTAGGGGACCCACCTGCTGAAATAATGACCCAGGAGCCTGTGTGTCTTGTGAAACCAAGAGCTGCCTTGGGCCGCAGGGAGTTTATTTCTGCCTCTCCCTGGAAAACCAGGCTCAGGTCAGGGTGCAGACGTCCACGGTGGGGGGCTCCTCGCGGGTAAAGCCGTCGCCAAAGCCCTCATCGTCCACCAGGCAGGGAGGGCGGCAGCACATGGGGCAGAGGCGGTTGCGCACGGTGGAGGCCCGCAGCCAGACCACAAGGTTCCAGCGCTCACCGGAGCCCAGGGGCCTGGCCCCATGCAGCTGGCCACCCCGGTGCAGGATGCCTTGGCCCACCACGTGCTCCACCTCCAGGGTCTCCGTCAGCACTGCAGGTGCCTGCAGATCAGGGGGCTCAGTCCTGGGTGCTCTGGGCAGTCCAGGTCCCGCCCACTGCCACACCCCCTCACCTGGAAGAACCCCCCGAAGTACAGGGCGCCCCCTGTGAAGGCCTTGCCCAGGGCCACGTTGAGAGTGAGCTCAGCATTGTCGTAGTGGCAGGCCAGCTCTCGGTCCTGACCCGGGGCATACTTGACCACGAAGGCACGGTGGCTGTCGAGCAGAGCCCCACCGTACTCGGGGTACAGCAGGGCCATCAGCGGCTGCAAGAAGCGCTCCCGCAGGGGTGTCACCAGCGGCTCATCCAGGCCTAGCTCATGCAGCAGCACCTGCCGGGGAGCGGAGGGTCCCTGAGGGTGGCAAGGAGGCTCGGGCATCACCCTGCATGCCCTGGGAGTACCTGTCACAGCGCCTCGCAGTGGGCCTCACCCCGTGGTTGTTCATGGTGTTGGGGCGTCCCTTGGGCAGGTCCGACTGCTCGAAGTGGCCCAGCTCCTCCAGCAGGGCCCCGCAGAAGGCTGCTGTGAACACCGGCAAGCGGTAGATCCGCTTCTCCTCTGCGGAGGGAGAGGGGGTGGGGGCGAGACCGTGAAGGTGGACATGCCTGCATCCCATCCGGTTCCGCTCTGAGCTGCAGGCCTGGCGGGTCTGTTCACACAAGGAGCTGCACTTTCCCAGTGGAGGCAGGGAGGGTGCCGGGCGCCATGATGAAGTGACCGCCTCTTTCACAGCATCTAGCACAGCTGGCCCATGCCTCAGCCAGGCCCAGACCCTGGGCCCTCTATCGTCCCACAACCCAGCCCCTGAGCTGCCAGCATGGAGGTCCTTGGATGGAGGCTGGAGCAGCAGAGCCAGGCAGGGGCACACAGCGGTCAGCCACGCAGTCAGTGGGGCCAGAGCCAGTACCCACTGGCCCTGATAAGCCAAGCGTGCCCATCGAAGTCTGAGGAAAAGCCAGGGAGGGCTGTGGGGAAAGACTGGGGGGACAGGAGCAGCCTGAGGGGTAAGGCAAGTCTGAACCCTCTTCCTGCCCACACCTGTCCACAGACCCTCATGCTCCACCTGACTGGGCAGCCAGGTGCCGGCCAGGAAGCACTGCGTCTCTCCTAGAAGGGTCAGTGTGTACGAGTGCAGGACCCCTGCCCTGGGGACCCCTTCCCACTAGCACTTCTGGCTCCAGCTGGTTGACTTCTGAAAGGCGGGGGGTGGGGGGGGAACCCCAGTCTCTGACACCCTGTTCTGACAGGCCCCCTTCCTGCCAGGCTGTGCCCAAGGCACCGCCTCACCTGACAGCGTCTCCAGCTTCTGGAGAAGGCCCCCCAGGTCTGCGTTTGGGGATGCACTGTACTCGGCCGTGGCCCGGAACTCGGGGGCCAGAACTGCATCCTGGGGGCAGAAATGCCAGCTGTGGGGCAGGCAGCCACACGGGCCAAGGTGCCAGTGCCACCTGCCAGAAGCCCCAGGAGTGGGTACCTGAAGCGGGGCGTACACATCAGGCCGTGCCGGGCGGTAAGAGCTCGCGATGAGGGCCTTCCTGGCAGCCGACTCCTGTCCCAGGCGCCGCCTGCGCTCTACCTCCTGTTCCAGCTGCAGGCAAGGGCACCAGGCCCGGTCACAGGAAGAAACCCAGACCCAGCCGATCCACCCCACAGCGCTGCAGCCACCAGGCTGATGGCAGGTACCACCTTGTTAAGTGGAAGGGGAATGTTCTAGAAAGGGATGTCCCAGTACGGGCTTCAGTCCACTCCAAGCTTCTCAAGCAGCTGGGCACGCTCAGGGAGGGGGCAATGGTGTGGACACGGCTGCAGAGGCCCTTCTGGGAAGCTGCCACCACTGACCCCCCCAATTGGAGGCTCAAGGTCACAGAGACACCTCTCCCCCAGAGCTGTCAACAAGGTGATGTGCATGACAAGGACACCTTGCAGTTTCCTGTCATGTCAGGCCCCAGCAGGAGGGCTGGGCTGTGGGGGGCAGAGGTGAAATGGATTTCATCTCATGGAGACCCTGTGTCCTGTAATCTGACAGGCCTTCCGAAGCTGTAATCTAGGGAGGCAAACTGGTGGCTCCCCCACGCCTAACAGTTCTGTTGCTAACAAAGCTATGTTTCGAACGGAACAGCCGCACCACCGGTGACAGATGTGGCAGCTGGCTTCCACGAGATTACAGCCTGGGGAACCCCACTGGTTGTGGGGTCGCTGAGGGGATCAATATCTCAAAGGGTAGGGCCAGGTTTGGGTGTGTCTGGGCCCTACAGGGGGCATTACCTCTGCTAACAGCTGCTGGAAGTCGTCGGAGCTGAGGCAGCCTCGGCTGCGCAGAACCTGGGAGCAAGAATGCCCATGAATACGAGGGTTAGACTTTAGATTCCCACCGACCTTGAGCCTCCATGACACACACATACACCCCCAAAAAAACAGCGATGAAGAAAACAAGGCCGAACTTACAGAATTCGGCGTGGGTGGCCTGAGGACGACCCTCCCTCGGTTTACCAGACCTGTGGCTCTTATCAAAACTTTGTGCCAGGCTCTGTGCTGAGCCCCTAACAGGTGCTCCCACTCATTCATCTCAAAGCAGTCGCGGTGGCGCGCTGTGGGGGACGAACTACGGGTGCTAACGGTTTAAAACCACAAGCTCAGCAGGTTGAACACAATTGGTGGCAATCGTTTCGTGGGGAAAATATGTAAAGACTGAAACACTGGGTCACTAGGAGTCGGAAATCAACTCCTTGGCCACAGTTGGTGTAACAACCTCTGCGGGGTGATCTGCTTACCACCCGGATTTGGGGTGCAATATCGGAGGCTCCGGGCGGGTCTGGAGCACGTGGAGGGGCAAACCCAACAACTGAGGGGAGCAAGTTCCCTCCTCCACCAAGCTGCCGGCGCCCCTTTCTCCAGAGGGCCAGTGGGGGCCACTCACCGGGCCGTAGTCCCGCAGCAGCTGCTGCCGGCCCTGGAAGCGCACGTGCAGTCCGTAGCGCGCCACGAACAGGTTCTCCGTGCAGAAGCAGGCGCAGCGACAGAAGCGCCGCGGGGCTCCCGCCGTCGCCATGGCGACCGCCGCGCGGGCGGCGCCCACAGCTTCCGTAGGGGCACTTCCGGGAGCTTCCGTAGGGGCACTTCCGGGAGCTTCCGTAGGGGCACTTCCGGGGGCGTTCCCCACTTCCCAAGCTGCCGAGGGTCCGGTCTGTTCTAAATTCCCAAGTGCACAGGAGAGCCCAAGACCCCTCCGAAAGCCGGTCCGCGCCGGGGACGGGTGCACCCAGGCCGTGGTGGGGCTGCCGGCCGAGAACACGGGCCCTGCTCGGGCCACCTCAGTGTCCCCATCCGCGAGGAGGCGGGGAGTCTGCACGCCACCTGACAGGCAGGTAGACTGAGTCACACGTTCACAGGGCGTGCAGGTCGGGACTGCGGACCCCGAGGCCTTTTAATGCGCCGGCGACTCGCTCTTCTGCTCCGAGACTGCGTCCC